TTCGAGAACAGATAAAACAAAAGTATATACCCTTCCACGTGGAAGAGCGCCGATGGGGATCCCTTTGAGGCAGCAAGAGCGAGTGAAAAATAAAAAAATTTAGAAAAAAAAAAAAAACATCGTTTAAAAATAAACCGTTGATTCCGTGGAGTGTGCAGTACGTCCGAGGAGAGTCGAAATGCACGGAGACAGGAGTCACAATGACGTAGCCATCAACGTTTAACGAATGGGCGTATGATACACGCGCATTCCAAATTAATTCCACTCTGGGTTGATGAGGCGTAAGAAAGGCAGTGCCCGCGTGTACACGTGTGCTAACGAAGATTCATGTAAAACCAGAATAGTATAGGCAGAGTAGGGGCGCGTTTCCGGCGAGCGCGAGACACGTGCGAACCTCGACGATGATGACGAGAGAAACAGAGACACGAGTGCGTGTGCCGCGCCAGTGGTGTATCTCTTTACCTCTTTCGCGCGGAATTTTTGATTGGCACGGACAGCAGCGCCGACAGAGGCAATGTAATGTGTGCAGCTCGCGTCGTTGCGCCCACTCGAGCGCATCGTAAGTCACTCGAAACTCCCGTTAACGCGCCTGTATTTCCGTCTTCGCTTGCAATCTCGTCTGTGTGTATACTTATGTGCACGTGTGAGTCAGCAGGCATTCTCGGACTTGGTAAGTGTATTGTGAAGTATGTATGCGGCTTAGCTCGCCCCCCTTCTTTTCGCACGAATCGGTCTGTATATCCACCCCTATATACGCACTTTTTTATGCTACCGTGACTCGACAAAATTTGCTTACGACACACTCTGTGTGCTTCAACTCACGGATAGGTATGTCGATGGGCGAGTTGAAGAAAATATTTTTACTTAATGATATTTGTTTCTCCAGGGAAGTATAGGAATTTTCGTACCGAATGAATATTCTATTTATAGCAAAACATTAAATATATAAAGTTTGCTGATGTAGGGCCTTATACGACTCAGGAGCATGGTATTTTTGTACGTATATTTTTCTTTCTCGTTGTTGAAATAAATTGTAGATGTTTTTTAGTAAGATCTCTTCTGAGAAAAAATTTTTAATTTTTAAATCAACATAGTTTTTGAGAATCGATAAAAGTGGAATTTATTAAATCTTTTTTTATTGAACTTCAGATTTCAACAGTTTTTCATTTGATTTATCTAAAGGGAGCAACTTTTGGAAAAACCGTCACCCGAAAAGATTACTTTCATCCCTTTCTACTCTGAAAAGCTTTTATCTCGTGACCCGAATCCTCTAAATCAGTAAAACAAAATTCAAAGTCAAAAATTTCCGAACAGTAGAGATAACTTTTTAATACAAAAAATATCGTGAATCAAAAATCCGAATCTCTAATCCTTTTAATCTCTTTCTGAGTCACGCATATACTACACCGAACTCTGATAAAAAGATTTTTAACTTACTTTTCGATTCTTTTACCAGAGAATATCTATTTTACTGAATGATTTTATGGAGAATAATATTTAATTGCATAAAAAATCCATTTTCAGTTAAATAAAAAAACAATATTGGGCCGAATACAGATCGATGCCACCCAAGCCACGCGTAAATACGTATAGACGCGAATAATCCATTAAGCACACACATGCGTAATCTAAAAGCATTGGGCAACGGCGTCAATCCGAAAACGTCCACTTACGAGTTTACGGGGACACATATAGGTACATACATGCACTCGCTGACGTGATTGTGAATAATTCATGTGGGGCCGCTGGTGCGACATGTCGCGAAGGACGAAGGTCTCCGTATCATCAATACCCACGCGATGACGGGATCAACCAGCCACGTAATTCGAGATCACTGCAATGGCTGGGACTCCGGAGATGACGGAGCAGAAGAAGGAGGGAATGGGATGGTGACGCTTTTTTATGTAAATCGATAGGTAGACGTGCGGTCATCCTTGATTTTCCCGTTTTCGACTCTTTGGGGGGAAAAACGTTGCCTGCACGAATTGATAATTTTTTATTTCGCATACGAGTGTGGTTGACAGCACAGAGTATGGTTGTATCGAGTTGGCAAAAAAACTGAGTATTTTTTTTTTTTTTTTAGTCACGATTCATTGTAGATCGCATAACGTGAAGTAAACGTGATCTATCAGAATTTTAATTTTTTTATATGCATGAATGAAATTTTTCTCAAATGTAATCCATAAAATTAAGTAATGATGAGAAAAAGAGAATTTTTAAGAAGTCGTAGCATTTCCTGCTGTAATTTCCAAGCTCTTTTTACGAAAATTCCGTGTAATGAGATCACAAACCAGAAGATGATAATTAGATGCTAATTAAGTGTCGTCATTTTAATTCCCGAGTTTTCCCACATAGTGCCCCGAAAATCGTGGCGCACACTTAATTACATCGAGTATTATCTCGATTCCCGTATCCTCGCGTGGATGGAGTTATTTTATAATGACTCATAATTACCCTTTTTTTCCAATTGGTATACATTTTTAAGTGAGTGTATTCAGAAAAAAATTTTTAACAATAAACTTTACATTCAAAATAAAACACGTTACGTCACAGTTTTTTTGCAATGTCAAGTGAATATGAGAAATGTTTCGAAAACAATTTTCCGTCGCTCTAATTGAATCCACCGAAACATTTTCAATGTCATCTCGTCAACTCCCATTACCAAAAAGTTCACAACAAAATATAATATTCCTTCAAAGCCTGTGAGTTTCCCATGATTGAAATAAAAAAAACCCCGTTTTTCTGAAAAACAATTTGCCGATCGATGGATCCTGAGACTATAGTCACTGTAAAACTAGGAATCGGGACTCGTGTCCAAACGGAAATCAAACCACTCCTCGGACCTCCTCATTCTTTCTTACTTTGAAAAAAAAAAAAAAAATAGAATAAAATGAAATTCAATCTCGAGTCCCATAGTCTAGGGACACCCACATACACCCACCCACACATGCGGGGAGATGGTATCACCTCCTCTCGGGTACCTGATAGCAGAGAGTCGGGAGGAGCTCCCTCGCGCATACATGTATCGGATCCCTTTCTGTTCAGTCTTTCTCACCACCGCCGAGAAATTGACCGAGTACTGCGGCGTTTATGCAAATGTGGGTGAGTGGTGCTCTACTACATATTATCTACCAGAGTCGCCCTCGTCCCATTCGGAATAAGCTCTGATCCCGAGCCCCCAAATCGTTTCAGCGTCAGGGTGCACAAAGGCCCTTTCCTGTCCCTCTCCCTTTGACAACTACAGTAGGAGGTGTGGGTGCAATACACGAGTGGGACTATAAAAGAAAGGAAGAATAAGAGAAGAGGTGATCACGCCGAGAGCCCGTTTGCAGTCCCGGCGAGTGACTCTTGTCCTCTGGCTGTTTTCTATCCGCACAAGGGGTGAAAGTGTATACTACAGTGTCTCTCTGTGTGTCGTGTGTACCCCCTTTGGCTCGAAAAGGGGATGGGCGAAACAGTGGCATGACGAAAAAACCAGGGGTTGCCCGGTGACTTATCTTTTTTTTTCCTTTGTGTAAGCGTGTGTTTTTTTAAGAGTTTGTTTGCGTCCTCCTTGTCTTTATATTATTTAGTATGATCGTCTTCTCTTTGTTGCTCTTTTTTTTTTTTTTTTTTTTTTTCTATTGATGAAGATATACGTTTCGATACCGGACACAGGCGCTGAATTTTCGATATCACCTGACTCTATGACACTCTTTTTTTACACGTTGTTGATTACATATTTTTTTTGTACCAACTATTGATTCAGTTAATGTTCATTATTGGTACAAAAAATAGTGTAATAAATGTCCGTTCTACGTTTATTATGACTCACCGTTAGTTATTCGCACAGCCATTGATGATAGCGTTGTCAACAAATACTTACTTTTGCATGAAACAACTCTCCCTTAAAAAAAAAAAAATTTATACTTTACTTTTATAAAAAAAGGGAAAAATAGCAACACCCACAACTCGAGCCGTAGCCTTGCCAAAAAATAAATCAACGAGCACCGAAGGCAGTCACGTGTGATTCCTCCACTTCCCTTTCTCGCGTTGGTGGATGTTTTGATGCGAACTATGCATGGCACACAATGTGTCTGGTGCTGCTGATTCTCACAGCGGCACTGTCGTAGTGATATACGTATCGCTTCCACGGCCAACTTTTCAATCCCCAGAATTGAAAGGTCGTGTGTGGTGTCTGTCCTCCTACTGCTGCAGCGCTGCTTGTATACGATATCACACGAGTGTATGAAGCATGACTTTCTGTAACTGAGATTTTGTCGTTGGGGGAGAAGGAGAAAAAGAGGAGGAAGGGGAGAAAAAGGTCGAAAGGATGAAATGGTGCGATCGAGAGCAGCAGCACGTGGTTATAATGTCCTTTTTTTTTGGTCTCTTTGCGTACGAGAGCGTCGAGGGTAGGTGTCCCAGTCTGACTTGGATGGTAATCTAAAAGCATTGGGCAACGGCGTCAATCCCCGCTCTTTTCGAGTGCTTTTGACGGCTCTATAAATCGTCGCCTTTAAGGATTTGAGTAATGGCTCTATCTCATTCGTTTTTTTTTTTTTTTTTTTTTTTTTAGAGGGACCCATGTGTCTTTATACCGATTCGCTCGGTTATAATTTTCAATTAATTTTCACGTTATGTACACGTTACTTTGTAATAATTATTTCCAACCCTGTCTTAATCGTATTTTGAAAATTCTAAATTTTATCGCTGCAACATATCATTCAACAAAAGTTCATTGTTTCTGCAGTGAGTCTTTGTAGCCTTCCCCTTTCGTGAGTCTTCCGAAATACCGTCGGCCCTCGTGCAAAATTTCCCGGAAGGAAACGACTGGAAGAATTTTAATTCAACGAATTCCGGACCTCCCTGGCCATAAATGTATGTCTTTGCTATTATACAAGACAAAAAGCCACCGAACCCTGCAAAAAAAAAACTCATACACATAAGCTCCACCCACTAACTCCATCCACATTCTGAAGAGCGTACACTAACCAATTGCCTTTTTTTGTATGTTACAGTACAAGGACCGATCGACGTCAGTTCTCCTGATAGTCTCGCTAGCTGGGATCAAAGTATGCAGTCCAGATGGGAAGGTGAGTAACGCTACGCTACCCACGATGCATAAAATGTACCGTATTATATGTATGCACGTGTACGTGCAGCTTATACTCGCCGCGCATGCAAACAAGCCCAGGCCTTTATTTTTCGTATTCGCCTGGAAGCCAATGGCCTCTCTCGCCCACGTTCGCACGTACTTACGGACGCCCCCGAGAGGGACTATGTGTATTGCGTGCACGACTAGAAAACAAAGGCCCCTGAAATAGTAGAGAAATAAAAAAAAACGCTATACTTCTGGAGTACGTGAAACAAAAAAAAAAAACAAAAAAAAACAAAAAAAAGGAATTAACGCAGTCGCACGACCCGAAAGTCGGCCAAGCCTCTGATGGAAAATACGAGAGCGAAAGAGCCTCCGTAACGGCAAGAGCTGCCCGGCTTAAAGGGCTTTCAGTTTTTCGGACGATTTCGCCCCGGCTTGTGTCTTTGTTGCTTTTTAAAAGCCTGCCTTTCGCGCCCCGTGAAATTACGTCCACCGACAATGTCGCCCTCGGCGCAGCTTGCAAGCTCTCGCGCCTACATAGCCGCATTTACGTGTTTTGCACGCGATGCTGTGCTTTGAGTGCGTTGCCGTAACTTTGCTGCGCAGGTAAATCTGTTTTTACACTGCGGAGCTTTTTTCATTGACTTTTTTTTTTTTTTTTTCATAATGTTAATTTCACGTAATCATATGCATCTTCGACCAAGTGCTGAAAAAAGCATGGGTTGCGTTTTTAAAAAATTTTCTACTGCATCGTTACGCCGCATATTTATCACGATGAGGATAATATGTGTGAAATATGCGTGAGTAGACTTGGGAACGAAACGTACGTCATTTTTTCTACAAAAATAGTTGTTACATGTTAAAATTTCCACAAGATCCGAATGATAGTAAAACCTAAGTTGTACCAATAAGAAAAGAAAAACGGTTCAATTAATACACGTTGGATTGTAGTTATTGATGATGATGATTAAAAGAAAACTTTTTAAAGCTTTTTAAAAACGTACGTAACTTACTTTACTACTTGAATTGAATAAGTTAGCAAATAAAGGTGGTGTAAGATTTTCTTTGGTCATATTTGTCAGTCCCAACGTTAGAAATGTCGAGAAAAGTGTTTGGCGTGGTAAGTACGATAAAAATCTACATGAAGATTGGATAGTATTTTTTTAAGTAATATTGTTGGACACTTGTATATTTTTGTAAGAGCTCGTATCTTAAACCAAACACATTTAACTTTCATTGTAAGTAACACTATTCAGCGAGGATACACGTACAACCATTCGATATTCAAGTGACATTTGAACTTTTATCTGACAAGTAAATTAAATCCACAAAAGAAATTCCATTACATTGCAGTCCAGCTCAGTTTTTCTTTAATCACTTTTCAGTAAATACCACTCAAATTTAGTGAAAGTTTTAAAACACCGCGTGGCATTATTTAATCTTGACACTTTACGTGGTGAGGAGGCCACTTACCCCGAGACCTGTACTGCTCGTTCCACCTGAATGAGCGGAAAAGCGGCCACCAAAAGTGGGTTGCCCCGTTAAATTTTAGAAAACTCGTTCGTCCATGTATGCGCGAGCAACAGAGGAGTGTTTTGCAAAACTTTTCCTTCGGTTAGGTTCGGCTGCTGTTGAGGTGGAATTTTGCTCCACAGCCCAGGGCTAACTTCTATTGTGGGGCCAACTAAAAAGCCGGGCACGTTAGGTATGCACGAACAAAAGGCTTTTGCCCCGATGACGTAAACTTTTCCCTGTGTGCACACGGCCAGCCCCACTACTTTTTCGCCGAACTGATTTCATCGGGGATTTTCTTTCTTGGGCCAATATTAAACATTTGCGTTTGATGAAAGATGCCAAAGTCTTTTCTCAACAATCTCGGCCATTAGTGATAAACAACTTTTTTCTCCAAAAAAAAAGTGCTCTTCAGCTCGTCTTGTCAATCAATCGAGCAAGCCAAGCCGCCACCTTATCCCAAACCTCAACTGTGAGTCAACCCGTGTATAAAAAGAAAAAAAAGGTTCCATGTATATTTTTTGCGCCTACGGTGTATAAGAGTATCCCTCGGGATGGAACCATAGCTTGCGGTCCAGGTTTTCTCGCTAGAGGTGATTGGCAGGGACAGAAAGTGCCAGCAGTCGTAGATTAATGCGCCCACCGCTCCTCCCGTCTCTTTCGGCTTGTCACTCTGATTGATAATGCCGGCTGTGTCTGATGGCTGGTGGTGGAACTCTTCCGAGTACTCCCACGCCCCTACCCCCACAATCGAATGTCATACCTACCTTTACTGAAATACCTCCTTTCCTTCCCTTGGCTCTTTCGTTTGTCTCGTTTTCTGCTTCCGCTCTTTGGATCAGATGGCCATTTGTTATTTTTTTTTTTTTTTTTTTTTTTTTTCAAGTTGGCAAAAGAGCTACAGACTAATTACAACTGGAGACTGCGGGGGAAAAGGTATTTCGGAAAGCTTTCGACTGATTAGGCTTGTTTCGGGGTGCCAATTGTTATGGAGTAAAGCAGCAGATAGGAGAGGCAACATTGCCGGCTCCTTAGAGGATTGATGTAAGTAGGAGCTGAGGAGAGATTGTTAAAGATGTAGATGCAGAATTAATTACACTAAGGTAAAAAACATAAATTGAGAATAGTTTCTTTGAAATTAAATTTTTCTTCTGCTTTTTCATTGATATCATGGCTGTATGGTAGACTGGCGTGTGTCAACTGCGCGTTAAAAAAATTAAAGCAAGTATCGTATACTTGAAAGGTAAAAATAAAACAAAAGAGAAAAAAAATGAACTAAAAATCGTCAATTCGGGATTCCTCTTGCAATTGAGTATCGAAGAACTCCTGAGCTGTCACTATGCGAGTGCTTATTCGATTTGATTAATGCGATGGCGATAATTGAGGGAGAAATTTCAAATCTATAGTATGAACGTAAAATGTCGATATTAATGAATTACTTTTCGCTGAAGATCGAGAGTAAAGCTTTTTCATTTTCTTATTCAAGGCAGAAAAAAGAGGACGTCGTTGAGTTGGTCATTTTGTGGCATTAATGGACAGCTTCTACACTAACACTTTGCTACTGCGGACAAAGCCCCTTTTCTCCGTTAGAGCGAAGCCCATGCCCTAAAAAGGTGGGAGGTTAAAAGGTAGTCCATCGCAGTTCCTTAGTCCTGAGAGAAATCGGCGACAGGTCCGGAAATGAAGGAAGTGCGCCGTCGCTGAACTGCTCTTTTTTTTTTTTGGTTCCTTCGAGGGTTGGGAGAAGAAAAAATCATAGCAAAGAGTTCGCGGACGAAGGAAAAAATAAGCGCATGCCAGAGAGAGAGAGAGAGAGAGAGATCCCGTTCCTTCGAAGATCAAGGATATATATATAGTCACGTGTAGGGGGTGGTTTTCTCAGCAAAACTTTATTACGGCCGTCGCCGCTTTTCTCTTCTCCTGAGCGTATAGCAACAGCTACCAACGGTGGAATTTATTACTTCTGGTCTCCCCTTTGATCGTACTCTGACTGGCTCCTTCACGAGCTTTGAATATTTTCTTTTTATTTTTTTTTTCAAGTCCTGTCGACTTTGACAGCAATATCCTTTGCTTTTCGGATATTTGGATATTGGTTGGACACCGCATGCTCGGTTATTTTAAATAAATTCAATTTTATCTCATTCACTGTATCATACAAAGCATGAAATATTCAAACTCTGTATTATACAAAGTATCATCAAGTACGACAACCTCTACTTACGTATACAATAATGATCGTGTAATCAGCATAAAAATAATCCGTGCCGTAGAGAAAAATGTTTAAAATGATACAAAAAGCAACGAAGCCTTACATCAATGCCTAAGAGGCTTTTATGCTGCCAAGTGCACGTCAGAGCTTTTTTCTCCGATGAATGCAAAATTTAAAAATTCGGAGCTCTCACGAGCAGCGACGGTAGCAGTATAATCGCCAATGTCACTTTAAACGACCCCCCCCCCCCCCCCCCCCNCCCCCCCCCCCCCCGTGTCATACGTATTAAAGCTAATCCCTAAGATTTACGAGGCCTGCCCCTGTACGCAATGACCCACGTAACCCCCAAGGCTCAGAAACGGATAGGCACCGAATTTCAAAGGGCAGGAGATGGTCGGGGGTCGGGGGTTGTCTGATTAGGCCGTTTACTGGCGTACAAGACGGACGAACACATACATGAACTTGAGATTGTTTTGATATGCACAAAGTTTTTACCGAGTAATAAAAATGCTCATAAAACTGTAGATGCATCGGTGCATTGTTAAGTTGGGAGAAAAAAGAATTTTCTTCATATAATACTGTTACCACATGTACGCGAAAACCACTTCACAGCAGAATAGCAGTAGTAGCAGTGTGTGTACTTGTATCAGAGTAAAAGGACAAGTGGCTTGTTTTTATTACCGTGTGGCTCCAGCAGATTTCATTAAGTTCTGCGCCAAGTACGCAATGTACGTATCATCTTTGCGTTGCGTAGTCGGGGTCGGTTTTATTGGCAAACCGCAAAGTGTGTTCGTACATGCACGCGAATCCTATCATTTTCCATATCCTCTTCATCATATGATTTTCTCATCGGAATAACTACAGTCGTCGTCAAACGAAAAACTGGTTATCCTCGTGGACTTGTCTGTTCCCTCGAATTATCTCGTCCATCCTCTTCTATGTATTATGCTTTTGATTTATTGTCGTATGGAAATTGTAACAAACAAAATTTTTTTCATTTAACAATTTTCTTTACAATATTTATTTTTTAGTAAAACAATGGTCAAACTGTGGGTTGTGATTGCTTTGTTTAGTTTTTTTAGTGTTTTTCAACTTGTTCCCACGAGAAGCTAGGAAAATAAAAGATCGTTTCTACGGAGCCCAGTTTGCAGGGATGATCACTTAATTCTCAGAGTACCATTTATTAACCCTCAAAAGTTAATTAGGCTCGGTATCTGTAATACCTCTGCATAGAAGATGTGAGTCTACCAAAATGAAATTTATTTATCGATGGT